GAGAGAGAGAAAGAAAGAGAGATAGAGAGAGAGGGTGCGGGGGGGCCTACCACAGAGAGAGAGAGAGAGAGAGAGAGAGAGAGAGAGAGAGAGATGCTGAATGGCAAAATTGAAATATAGGTCAAATTACGGCCGCGATCTATTTCACAGTTGGAATGATTTGTTTTTATTTATTGAGCATTTTTTCTGGAAAGATCACAACAAAATCTACGAGTACTTTAATTTTCAGGTTTTTTCATGCATTCTTATGAGTGCGAAAACTCACTGAATTGGAGTACTTTTTTTGTTGGCCCACAGATGGCTGAGTGGCAAAAATGGAAAATGTGTCGAATCGGCACGACGATTATTAGGAAGTCTAAATTATTTTTTGAAAATATTCTAATATTATTCTTGGAAAAAATACGACCTTGTCTATGGATTCTCAAAATTTCAGATTTTTCTGCGGGTTCGTCCGAGCATAGAAAATTGTCAAAGTTGCCTCTTACAAAATGCCTGTTTCATTGTACCTGACCTCCCTGTTTTGAGAAGACGGATCTCAACGCATGGGCCTGAGGGCCCTTTTGCAGTTCACATGCCCTCACTTCTTTTTGGGGTCCGTTTCTACCCGAGGACCGATCCAACACCCCCCACTTCTTTTTGGGGTCCACTTTCACCTGGGGACCGGTCCTTCCTTTTTCCAAAAGTCTCGGTTCTACCAGAGCTAATTGTAGGTAGTCCGCAATTTTGGCAAGGACCGGTCCCCCAAATTTTTTTGCCCCCTAAGAACCCACTTTGCATCGAGGTCACCCGCCGCCAAAAATATGACACCTTGACACAAACGCGAAAGCCCACTATACCGTAGCCTTCAAGTTATGGCTACGAATTTGGCCGCATGTATTTGGCCACAAGTTTGGCACAGGGTCATGCGTCCATTCAGCGATGGGAATAGGGTGGGGGGGGGCAAGCGTTCCTCCGGTAGGAGTCTGCCATTTCACGGCAATTATTATGCCTTTTCTCTCTCTCTCTCTCTCTCTCTCTCTCTCTATCTATCTATCTATCTATCTATCTATCTATCTATCTATCTATCTATCTATCTATTTTTTTTATTTTTTATTTTTTTTATTTTTTTTTTTTCTCTCTCTCTCTCTCTCTCTC